ATCGTCGAAGCCATACGTGACGTCCAGCCACCCTACACGAACCACTGCGTAACCTATTTTAGCACTTCTTGGACAAACATGAGCCCCCATGGTAGTGGAAACGTGCCACTACTCCTACCTCCAGAGGAGGAGATGGCAGAAGCCCATGCTTCACTAGCTATAAAGCTTCTGCCAGTGCCGTCAAAAGTAGTTCAAAACTTGATAAACAACCACATCAAGAGATACCAGGACTAATTGGGAGAGCTAGTAGAAGCTGAACGCGGTTTCCCGAGAGATGGGTTCAGTTATTCCAACCTCCTGACAGCCAGCGATAGGTGGGAGGTAAACTGAGACCTCTAGGTCTGTGCTCAGAAAACATCTTGCACCTCCCCATGGCCGTCGACACAGTTCCACATGCCACTCTTAGGCTTAAAATAGCAGGGTTGGGTATCAACGTTCATTTGTTATGCTGACTGGAAGGCTATTTAGACTGCAGAAAGTTCGGCACAAAAATCAACAGGGTTTACTCAACTTGGACAACACAGCAGTCCAGCGTATCACAAGGGACAACGTCGGGTCCACTGCTGTTCCTCTTTCACGTGATAACATTAAGATATGGACGGCTGCAGCATTCGAAAGAGAAAGGAGCGCACTACAGGGCAACCCTAGAATGCACGAAGGGCAAGTGTGGGCATAATCTGGATAGATCCCGGATCACGTTCTTCTGCGCTCCGGGATGGCAGGAAGTATCTCATACAGTAAGCTGCGTGCGTATGTAACTAAGCGCACTCCCTCCGAAGCTTTGTAAGGCATACATAAAGGCTCAATCGTAAGTTCACAGTGTCGCTCCACCACAACACCTGAAGAGAGATGCGAACCTCCGGGCAAAAGTCTACGGGTGAGTCAATTAGGTTTTTGTGGGTACACGGCAAAAGCTACACGATGACGGGATAAGTGATATGGGCCTTTGCTGCCTTGATGTCGCAGGTTAAGTGGTGACTTGATAACGGACCGCAAAATAATGAGCAACCCAAATCACTCAATTAATGGAATTTTTCCGATCGATCACCATGGCAATCCCCTTGAAAACTCGAAAAGAATAGCGAATTGAAGGCACAAAATCCGTATGCGTTCACACTTTTTCTCTTTTCGAGTTTGGAACCGTCGGGATGCACATTTCACCTAGGTTGCCGCAGCATCACCTGTCGGCAAATTTCGGAAACGTTTTGACAGCCTCATCGTGACACGTGGCCTGCGCTTACCAAGTTGGGGTACAGACTGAGCCTGCTGCTGCAGGCTGAGCAGAAGCGTTGTGCGATAAGCCTAATGGTGGCCAGTACAACTGGATGAGAGAGTTTGTGCAACGTATTGAAGACGTTGCGTCGACAACTCTTCGGAACTATTGGGCGTGGTTGACTAGCAGAGACGTCGCACAAAATTGCATCCTTGTCTGATCCAACAGGACAAAGTCGCAGCTTGAGAGTTGTGGACGACAACTCATGATGCAGCTCAAGGTCTTCCTTTTGACGCCAAGCTGCTTCAACGAGATCAACGCCCTCGATATGATTTATCGAAGCTATTCGTGATAGTGCATCGACTAGGGAGTTATTTGCTCCAGAAGTGTGGCGGATGCCTGACGTGAACTGAGAAATGTAGCCAAGCTGTCGCGACTCAGGCGGGGAGGGAAAACGTTAACGGTCTGTGGTCTGTGAAAATAATGAAATCACGACCTTCCACCGAATGTCGAAAGTGGCGTACAGAACAGTACATAGCTAGGAGTTCCCTACCAAATGTACTGCACCTTGTTTCCACGTCTTGCAGCCGCCTCGAGAAAAAGGCTAACGGTTGCCACTGGTTGTCAGTCAATTGTTGCAAAACTGCTCCAATTGCTGAGTCAGATGCATCAACAGCAATACTCAAAGGAGCATTGGGGTCATGATGCATAAGCATGGTTGCGTTCGAAATGGCTTCCTTGACTTTGGAGAAAGCAAGTCTAGCTACGTTGTCCAGAGTCACGAACTCCGTAGTTCCTCGAAGTAGATCTGTTAGTGGTCTCATGACAGAGGCACAGTTGGGGATAAACCTTCGGTAATAACTTACCAGGCTACTGAAAGTGCGGAGATGTTTCACAGTGGTCGGCTCTGGATAGTTTGTGATAGCCGCCACTTTATCTCTCAATGGGCGTATACCTTTGTTGTCAATGGTATGCCCAAGGAAGCTGAGTGATTCAACTCCTATTTCACACTTCTGTAAGTTGACTGTGATGCCATGTTTTTTAGTCTTTCGAATGCGAGGTCCAAATGTTTAAGGTGAGTTTCCTTATCTGGACTCGCAATTAGACAGTCATCGATGTAGACATGAACAAAATTCAAACCACGGAAGACATCATCCATAAAGCGTTGGAATGTTTGTGCTGCATTCCGAAGACCAAATGGCATGCGCAGGAATTCAAACAGGCCAAAAGGAGTAATAATGGCTGTTTTCGCATTATCTTCTGCTGCCATAGGTATCTGGTTGTACGCTTTGACCAAGTCGATTTTGGAGGAAATGTTCATTCCGCATAAGGTTGCAGTCAAGTCGTAAACGTGAGGTATCGGGTAGCAGTCCGGAGTTGTTTTGGCGTTAAGCCTTCGGTAGTCACCGGTTGGACGCCAGTCGTTGCTATCCTTTTTGGGAACCATGGGCAATGGTGATGCCCTGGGGCTGTTTGACGGTTTGATAATGCCCAGTTCCAGCATATGGTCGAATTCACTCTTCGCCGTTTTGAGCTTATCGGGGGCTGGACGGCGCGCTTTGGGTGCCACAGGTGGACCTGTGGTTGTCACGTGATGCATAACATTGCTGGTTATGCACGGAAGAGTGTTCTTCGGTTGTCGCAAATCTGGATACTTCTCCAAGACTGCTTGGTAGGAAGCGTCGCCTGATTGTTTGGTTCTAAGGATGGCTAAACTCGGACCTACATAGGTGGTGCTGCCATTAGATAACTTTGTGTTGTTATCTATCAGTCGTCAACGGCGAGCATCTACGGGTAGATCTTAATGGTCTAGCAAATCTATGCCAATGATGGGCATAGAAATGTCAGCAAGGAGGAAAATCCAGTGGGTAGGTTTATGTAAACCTAAGTTGAGGTAGGCACACTGTCTCCCAAATGTGGCGATTGCCTTGCCGTCGGCCGCTTGGGGATTGAAGGATGGGTCGTAGCCAACTTTCGTCTTTATGTCGGTGACGTAGAGCAAACGGCTGTTTCCGCCAGCTACGGTTGCCGTGAACCCGTGACGGCGCGACCGTTTCCCGAGTTTGTCCTCGTTAAAACTGCATGGTTTCCGACATTTTCTGGCTTCGCCTCCAAAAGTATTATGAAGCCAGCACCATTCAGGGTTTTCCACCCTCTTAGGTTTAGTTTTGGGGCTACCACGCGAGTTGCTGCGATGCGCTAAGACGCGTTTCTGTGGAGTGTTACGTGGACTGGGACTTCGAGATCGTAGCAACCGTTTAACAGAGTTGCACAGCTTTGTCACCTCTGAATCCTGGCGCTCTGCTTTGTCGCAGATAGAATATACGTTGGAGACGGCTCTGCTAGAAATCTCCAGTATTTCATCTGCCGAGGCTGCAAGGTCATCGAGTGGGACTGACCGTAGCGTCACCAACACGGTTTGCACCTATTGTGGTAGTTTTGAGAGAAATGGTTCTGGGAAAAGGCCATCGTCGAATGTTCGTGCTCCGATTACCTCTCACATGCTTGCGAGGACTTCAGTAGCTGAGTCGCTGCCTAGCTCGATGTTACGAAGTAATTCGTCTAGGCGCTGGTGATCTGTCAGATAGCTTTTCCTCAAGAGTGCAGCCTTGAGAAGTGCATAAGGATCACTTACTTCAGGATTAAACATGTGTGCTGTAACATACCTGTTTAATAGTCGCGGTAGTGACCGTTTGCCAGCAAGAAATCAAGAATGAGAATCTGAGACGCCCTGTTCTCGGAAATCTGCCTCGGCATACAGGAGCCATGTTTCTGCATTGTCTGGCCAATATGGCACGAGTTGGATCATGTTTATAGTCGGCTTAATACGAATAAGCTTAGGAGTGTGGTCGGACATGAGAAAGTGTAGTAAATGGACATTTAAATGTTATCGAAATGAAAGCAATCAACAAACATAAAGTGGAACAGGCTCACCAATTTAGGATTTGTCCTGGTGCGAACTTGATAGACGCAAAGACCAATCACTAATTATTCGGACTTGTTATATACCCACGAATACGAGACCAAGGAAGAACACGATAGCGTTGTCGGATGGAATAGTATATTTGGATGGTTGTGCCAAGATGTCGATGCGTTCCAACTAACTGGCTAGAGAGTCGAATACGAGCAGTGCAACGTAACACGACAGCATGCCAAATGGTGAGGATGCTTGACCGGGTGCCTTCAGCTTAGCGAGTTCAATTAAACTATCAGGGTGAGCATCAATGTTGGATGTCATCAAACCCTAGGCTATTGATTTTGGTGAAGTGTGACGCTACAAGGCTTATCAGAGTTACGCCAGGTAGGTATGTGGATCTACACCATCGAAACCCACTAGAGACATGGTACCACTTCTCGAAACCTAGAAGCAGGTGTGAAGAAGTCAACTAGTCTATACAACTTCATAAGACAGAAATTATAACCCATCTGGAACACTTTCCTCACATCCTACGGATACTTCTGAGCAAGATACGGGTCGCACAGTACTATAATTAAAAATGATTAGTTTCGGTAGTTGACTAACTAACCTTATTCCTGAAGAATAAAGAATGAAGTCGCAAGTCTGCCTATGTGATTGGATCACGTTTCATTGAGATACATTTAAATAATAAACAGACGTTTTAGTCAACTTTCCTTATCCTGGGTAACTTGTGATTCAGAAGAGCAGTTTCCGTGGAGTAAGTTTGTTTTTTCTAGCAATTAAGACCTAGTGAGAATTGGACAGAATTTGGTATTTGAGTGAGTCACTTGTTTTGTTTGTCGACATCACCAACCAAACGAACGTGTCATATTTGACGCGTGAACATAAAGACTGATGATGATACAGGGTGTTGTACTAACGTGTTTCGTCGCATTTATTGCTGCAGAAGTAAATGAAGAAGATGGTGTGTTAGTTTTAAACAAAAACAACTTTGATGATGTGGTCAAAAGTAACAAGTTCGTTCTTGTTGAGTTCTGTAAGCTAAATAATTCTTCCTGAGTAACATATTAAGACGCTCCCTGGTGTGGTCATTGTAAGGCTCTTGCTCCTGAATACAAAGAGGCAGCGAGAAAGCTAAAGGACAGTGGCTCTTTGATCAAGCTAGCGAAAGTGGATGCTACTGTAGAAGAAGAACTTGCTTCTCAAAACCATGTTACTGGATACCCTACTCTGAAATTCTTCCGAAATCAGCAACCCATTGACTTCACTGGTGAAAGGGATTCTGATTCTATCGTAAACTGGTGTCTGAAAAAGTCAAAACCATCTGTGGAATATATCGAATCAGTTGACATTTCCAAGCAATTCATTGGTGATGCGAAAATTGCAGTGCTTGGTTTCTTCAAAGTAAGTAGCTGTACTAGGTCTTAACTTTCAGGATACGGATACATCTGAGTTGACAGCTTTTGAAAAAGTGGCTGATGAGTTGGATGATGCTAACTTTGCAGTAGCCAATGCAAGTGACATTATGAACGAGTACGGCATAACCAGTACACCTAAGATAGTTCTCTTCAAAAATGTATGTTCCATATCGTAGGTAATCATTGATCCTAGTTTGATGACAATCGTGTGGACTACACTGAGGAGACCTTGGACAATTTGAATCATTTCGTACGAATAGAAAGCGTTCCACTTGTGTCGGAGTTCTCTCAGAAAACTGCAAGTATCGTGTTCGGAAGTCCAATACAGAAACATATCGTCGTCTTCATCTCAAAGCAAAACGACTACTCTAAATACATCGAGGAACTGACTAAAGTTGCACGACAGTTCAAAAACAAGGTAAGTAGATGACCTACGAACGTTTCGCATTCGTACTGCATTACAATTTCTAACTGTAGAAGTGAAGTTGAGTTTCTCGTAATACTTCGCACTAGCCGCTGCTCCACACATCTTTTCTTGGTCTGCGTCAAAAAGGCAAACTAATTTATACTTCTGGTGACCACTAGTTCTAAGTAACGGACTAGTTTTTCCTGTTAATCGTACTATTTGCTTCGTGTATGAGATATTTAATGAGTTATAGATTGTTTATTGACAAAAAGAGGTGCATCAAAGTTGTATTAATAACAACGCCAATATACGGGTTTTTCTCAGATGTTTTGTCAAAGTAGTAAAAACTTCAAGTTTCAATAATTAATTTTGAGGTTCACATTCATTTTTACCTTTTAGCTTCACCTGATGGTTGTAGATGTTGATTTCGAAGATAACTTACGTGTATTGGAATTCTTTGGTCTCTCAAAATCTGACCCTCCGACTTACCGAATTGTTGAACTGGGTGAAGAAACAACAAAATACAAACCAGAATCCAATGATTTTTCCGCTGCCAGCATGTCTGAATTCGTACAAAAATATCTTGACGGGAAAGTCAAGCCATTCCTTATGAGCCAAGAAATCCCAACTGAACAGACTGGTGCTGTTAAAGTGCTTGTTGGGAAAAACTACCAGGATGTCGTTAAGGACAAGTCAAAGGCTGTATTTGTCAAACTTTGTAAGTGATATTTGGTGGTCATGTGTTTTTGACAGCTTAGCTTTTACATCCCTGTAGCCTTTCTTGATGTCATGCGGTGTTTTTGATCTCTTCGCTTGATATCCACTTTGTTAAATTGCAGTTGCTGAATACGAATTTGCTTTAACTGTGTTGTGATACAGTTGACTTGTAGAGTGACTGTTGTCTCCTGTTTCAATATTCACCGCAGTTCTGACACATGTTATCCCCAACATACAGTTGTCGCTTCTCCAAGTCCCGATGATCGGTATAAGCTTACTTTTCTGCTATACTTAGTGCAACTGCATACATTTGCTCAAGACTTTGGTAACTACTTCCAATGTAGAACAAACTTTAGATATTGGTCAGGTAATAATAGTCTGCTGTCAGCCATTTCAGTGAAGATTTTCTGAAGCATTCTAACGGATTTCAGTGTAACAATCGTTTGGTGAACGTTGAAGAAAGGCTTCTCGTTTTCTCTGTGAAAACGAACTACTAATCATTGACTCATCAAACTTCATGATATTTTACTCCTTTTTCTCAAAATATTCCTAGATGCCCCATGGTGTGGCCATTGCAAAGCTCTTGCTCCAACATGGGAAGAGTTAGCCGAGGCTTTCAAAAACTCCGATGATACGATCATTGCCAAAATGGATGCTACCTTGAATGAAGTGGAAGACCTCAAGGTTACTAGTTTTCCAACGCTGAAGTACTATCCCAAGAACTCTGATGAGGTATGTCATTAATTTTCATTTGCACCTGCATGGTAACATAATCTTAACTTTTTGCGAGAATTAAAATCACAAGTTCAACAGAACATCCAGAATGTTTATAATTCATGCATAAACTGTAATATCCTTGAATGTTTCACAGTGCTTCTGTTGATGCTGAGTAGATTGGTTCTTATTAGAGTTACGGAGAAATTAGTGATAAGTGCTCAGACAGAAAAATCAACGTAGAACCAGACATTACTATGTAATGGTTCATGTTGCCACATGTTATATCTGCACATTGAGCAACAAAGCAATACGATTGCAGATAAAGAAAATAAAAAAGAATCCGGCAAAAGTAGCCAAAAGGCGGAAGAAAAAAAGAGGAACTACCGAGTTCAGTACAATGATTATAATGAAGATAACGTATGGATACATCCACGCCACTAAGATTGATTCTGAGTCGTCACCTAAGGTCTCCAACCGCTAGTTCCTGCTGTTACGCGGGTTCCAACCGGAGAACTTACATTTGCCCACGCGGTTCAGACCAACAAAGACTTCATACAATGATGCCATATTAGTCTGGTCGTCCCTTAACTCTTTCCAGCCAGGACCTACCTCAGGTAACATTGTGCTATGAGGAAGATGGTGACTAGTCATGCGTAACAAATGTCCCAGCCACCTCAGTCGATGAAGGTCCACAACCACACTAGCTGACTTACCTCTTCGCTAAAACTACGCATAACTCTTGTGTTACTGAAATGGTAACACTACGACACAGCCTATGCTACGAAAACAACGATGGTCAAGCTCCTTAAAGCATAGTGTCCTCTGCTTTTTATGGCCATGTTTCACACCGTAGAAAAGAGCGGACTGCAACGCAGTACATTTAATAGACAATTAGATATCATGGTGGTGCCACAGTTGCCGTAAGTTGACAAAGCCAGTCAAGCCCTTTGTATTCGTGCGGAGATTTCGTCGGTCACTGACCCACCAGGGTCAACGTGACTTCCTGAGTAAGTGGTGTTCAGCGCGCTCAATAACTTCACTCGCTATCGTCAACTGGGTACCATTGATGACCAGTCCTGGAGCAACAATTTGCACTCATGTGGAGAGAAACGCATCCAAAACATTCTGAAACTGCCACTTTGGGTGTCCAGAAGACTGCACCTTGCCAGTATCTTCACCTAACAGGACCATATCATCTATATGCCCTAGATCTAAGGCTTCTATAAAAAAAATAATCCCTGTAAACTCAGACAACGAGAGAGACCTCCATTGACACTTGCATAATAATGGACATCACTTGTACACAAGTCACGTTATAACTCACCGTAGGCTCTAACATGCCCATGGGTGTTCGAGTTATTATAATTATTATTAGAACACAAACATGGTGCATGAAATGCGCCACACAAAATAGTATAACATTACGAAGACGTAAACAATGAGAAGTAGATTAGTAAAAAAAGAAAACAACAAGAACAGTATGATTATGAGGGATGTTCAGGTAAGGTACATTCGAAAGCAGAACATGGACCTCCGCTTCGTTAGGTGGGTGAATGTTAACTGACCATAGAGCACGATACACCGGAGCTGACAATGCTGAAGCCATAGGCCAGCTGAAATGCTTTTCGAAGTGCTCCGTCCAACGTCCCAGGCGTCTTTGAAGATTGGTTATCGGCGTACCATCTACCTCACAGTCCGTCTCACTGACACCAAACTTCTCGGATTAACTGAAACAGCTTCCGACTGTTGCCAGATACAGCTGCTGCTTCCATGTCACTCACGCGTTCTGACCACCAAACCTCACGGTCCTTGCGTAAGCGTTGTGTAGTCTTTTGCGTAGGATTTATTCACTACCCGCCGGAATGGTCCGATGAGGTTCAAGAAGTTGCAGGGAGCTCGCAAAGACCCAGTGTTTATTAGTGGGACATTCTTCCAAGCTGCAAGCAACCTTACACGCCATTTTCATAGCGTCTTTCAAGTGCAACCAATGCTCGTCTACACTTTCTGGAGGGTTGTTATCTAGCCTTGAATCTAACTCTGATTGGTATTTAACTGCAATACTGCGTGCAACTAATTTGCTCGTGTCTACCTGTGTAGGACGGCAGTTTTGGTAACCACCAAAACGCAAGATGAGCTTAGCAAACCACATCATGATCAGAGTCCAGACTAGTGCTCCTGTATGCAGCCACGCCATTGATAGCTGATTGCGATATGATATATTTGAGTGGCAGAGGGAGGATACCAAGTAGCACAACTGTCTGTGCCGAAAGTTGATGTTGGCTAAAAATAGGTAGTGATCTGCGTAAAGCTGCAGAAGACGATTTCCGTTATCCGACCTGTGCCTAACTAGTCCCCATCAGCCGCGTCAACGACTCTCTTCTGAGCCTAGACGCCCGACTTGTGCATTAAAGTCCCCAGCTAACACTACGATACCTGTCGAGCACACTTGATTGAGCAAGTTTCTTAGTTGATAATAAAATTCATCCTTGGTTGTATCCAGGCTACAATCCATAGGAGCATGATATGACAAAGAGATATCGTTTCTCTTTCGTTTACTCACTCGAGTTGAACTTTTCAGCGTAACAGCACATAGACGACTGTTGATAGGGATGCACTGGAGTAGTGCAGCCTCTTCTCGAGCGCCTAGTGTGACCGGCAGCTGCGACGCCGGTTTCCGATGCCGTAGGGTCCCCGGATAAGCGCATATGGAACATTTTTCGAGCTGACAGATGCAGAACTAATTCGAAGCACTTCACTGAGATCTTGTGTGTGGGTCTCTGAGATGCAGTTTACACCAATGGCGAGACTTTCCAGAGTCCTGGCCAAACTCGCTTGTCTGGTCTGCATCAAGGTGCAAACGTCGGTGACGAGCTTAAGTGGTATGTGTGGTTTCAGGATAGCTGAGTCAGATGTCGCGACTGGAGGACATCTTTATGGCGACAACTGTTTAGTGACTCAAAACTGTAAAGACAGACCAGAAGTCTAAGGAATGCAGAGCAGCTGAGTAAAGTAAAAATAAAGACAAAGGCGAAAATGTCAATCACAAAAAATACAGTTCATAGGTAAAACCAACGAAAACAGTGTAGCAACAAACGGAGTAGTCGGTTAAAAAGTCCGTAGTGTGGAAAGCTTGATCACTCACAGAAAAGTTGGTTAATTGCTTCTAAATCTTGATTTTATATTGTAAATTCATATTTCTCGTGAGGGGTGGGATGCTGCCCTGAAGCCCAGACCAAAGCAGGTGGTTGTATTAGGGGACCACTTCCCGAGCCTAACTTAAAGTGTAATCTACAAGGCAGTGGAGCCATATCAGGAGCTGCATTCCCATGATTGCTCGTCACCGAAATAGGTCGATACTCCGTTCATCCCAACTGGAATCTTGAACCCATAACCATCATTAGTTTGGAATCAGTTTTCCAACTCCCCTAAGTAAACCCTCAGTACCCACCAATCCGTTGATAGGCGCCGGACATTCGCTTGACCCCTTTCACATCTATGGAAACACACCCCACGTAAAAACAGCGAATAAGACCGCTATCAGAGGTTGTGAATGTATACCAGAGCCTCTTGGGGCGGGTATTAAAATACAAGGTTTTCAACTGTGATGTACTTACTTGGCACCCCTTTCATTAAGAGACCTCTCGATCGATGGAGTCAAATATCGTCTTCAGGTCGAGAAATACAAATAGTTTCGGGCGTCGGTAAATTTGTCTGTTTTGCAGAACCTAATGGAGTGTAATTTTCTGGTTGGTATTCCCACGTTCAGCTCTGAAGCCTGTCTTTTTCTCAGGTTTCTTGTGATTATAGAACCTGGAATCCTTGGCAGGCCGATTCCTATGCGGTTATCACAGGAGGATTTCTTGCATTTTTAAAGACTAGGATAATCAGTAATTAAGACCGGTCAACGTGAATCGTGTCTGATTTCCATACGCTAGCCAACTTTAGTTAATCTGATCGGTCCTCTACCCCTATGATAACTGTATATGTGCATAGTTGTCACAGGAACTTGTTGAATTGTTTGTTATCGCCAAAACGACAACCGGTGAAAGACAGCAAGTGTAGTTCCAAGCTTAAATCTCAATTTTGACTGTGATAGGTTTCATATATTGCTAGCTTGGGTCTCATGCTCGTTTAACATAAACTACTGAGGAGGTATTTCAAGAAAACTAGTGAAATGTCTTCACTTAATCAGGATTAATAAAGCCAATATTTATATTTATATCAACCGAGTGAGTTGAAAGATTCTTCGGAGCATTTTAGTACTTCCATTATGTTAGATAACTATCATGAATAAAAGCTACTTGTCTGTTAAATACCAGTCTTTGGATGTGATACTAATTTCGGTTAGTTACTGCGCCCCATTACCAGTATTTGTCCAGGTCTGCAAGTCCTTTATTTGGTAAATAAGATCATTATCCAACTAAGCAGGGCGGTTTACTGGTCGGATGTACTATGATGTCTTGTAACTGTGATGCATCAATTATGTAATGCCCATTCCTGTTTTTCGAACCTTTAGGCCATTGACTACTCGGGTGACAGATCCTTTGAAGCCTTAAAGAAGTTCGTGGAGTCTGGTGGTAAAAGCACTGAATCAGCTAAACAAGAAGAAACAAGGGATGAACTGTAAATTATTTTGTAGAACGCTCTGTTTTCATTTTTCATTATTCTCATCACTCTTTGCTTTGAAGATCTGTCTCTTTTTCATATGCTGTCATTGACCGACAAGCATCTAATGTTCCTTTTGACCTTCATGTAGTTAACTGTAGACATTTGTACTTGTTTCTAAAGCGCTCATAGCCAGTGCATTTCTGTGAATGTCAAGTTCCTTTATTTGACTTTTAGGTACCTGCGTACCAATATAATTGTTTTTTGGAAAACGATTTTCAAACCATGTTTGCTAAACAAAATTCGTTGTATTAACTTGTATATTCAGCTTCTACTTGTTTCGTACTAGGTAGAGAAATTCAATTTATGGGAGTAAGGATATCGAATAAGTAAACTACATTCGTTTAAATATCCAGTAATTGTCTTAACCAGGTTCATAGTTTTAACCGTTAAGGCTTGCCTCAGTTAATTCGTAATAGCAGTTACTTATCACAATACTAGGATTTTCTGGTGCGTAAACGACAAAGTTATATCGAGAGTGACATAGAAGATAATCAACAGGATAGGTTGGTCAGCGTTCACGTTATTCCGCATTGAAATATGAGGCATGTTAGTGGCGGCCTGCTTGAACTCTGGGCTACCGTTTTCTATAATCGAGTATATTGCATCAGATTTCTTATTTCTATATTGTTTTAATCGTTTAATTATGTCAACCAATCGTATTGTATATTCTCGCTCTTTTTAAAAATCATAACAACTTATCGCTCCGCAAGTTGATAGGAAATTTAAGAGGAAGCACCACGGTGGATGGCAACGAGCTCTGAGGCGTATGACCATAGATCAAATGACTATTCCGGAAATACTTAGCACAAACTGCAGGTCGTTGCCGAATAAAGTTGATTACCTTCAGTCACTCTTGTCCACAAATGTTTATCGAAACACGGGTGTAATAATGCTGCAGGAAACATGGCTTCATAATCTGTATGATGATTACTTAGTCTGCTTAGATGGTTTCAAATTATTTCGACAAGATCGAAGCTTTTCGAAGAAGAAATGTGGTGGTGGTGTGGCAACATTTATTAGTAGCTGGTCGTCCTCCAACTATGTATGCTTCTGCTTCTCTAACGAAAAAATTGAGTGCATTACCATCAAATGTCGTCCCAAACATTTGAGCATATATATACATATATCACAAACATGTATGTCACACCTGACTGCAGTTTCTCAGATTTGTCAACTTTTGCTGATAAATTCACTGAATTTGCTGCTCCGGTTCTGTGAAACTCCTTGTCTATTGTCTGTGGTGATTTTAACTCATGTGACTACAGTTTTCTATTATCATTGGGTCATAAAAATATGGTTAACTTTTCCACTCGTCTTGACAACACCTTAGACTTTGCATTTACAAATGAACCTGGCATATATGAAGCCCGTAAACGGGCTCCACTGCTTAATTCCGACCACTGTATCGTTCGTGTTTTGCCTAAAGTGTACGGAAAATTATACAAGAAAGCTTTTGCATACCTTTCAAGGAAAGTTCAATACAGATGCTATTCACAAGAAAATATATTACGTTTGAGAAGCATGCTTATAGAAACGGACTGGGATATATTTGCTGATGAAGTTTTAGACAACACTATTACCAATATCACAAGCTATCTCAGATTCTGTCTTGATATCTGCTGCCCTACTGAAACAATTTACATGAGATTTGACAGACTTTCCTCTCCTCATCTCAAGAGGCTTCGGAGAGAAAAGGAAAGGTTGTATAAGGCGAGAGATCACCCTGGCGTTAAAAGGCTTAACTGCCTAATTAAGTCTGAAATACAACGTCTGAATACCATATACAACGAGAAGTTCTTATCGTGTAAGAATTCTTCCAATATATGGAAATTATTTAAAGAGCTTACTGGTAAAAAACAGATGACAACACAAACTCGTTCGGATGTCTGCGCGTTAAACAAGTCATTTATACGTCGGCAAGCTAATTTCACCCTTCCTAATGTGCAAAATCAAGTGGATAGCTGCTTTCCAGGTTTCAATACAAATGATGTATTTAAATGTCTAAAGTCTTTGAATCCCTCACAAAGCTTAGGTCCTGATGGTGTTTCTAGTATCATATTTAGAAAATGTGCAGATATTTTGTGTCATCCACTTACAGATATCTTCAATGTATCGTTCTCTAAAAACATAATACCCACTGTTTGGAAGCAGATAAAAATTGTACCTGTCCCTAAGCCTTCTTCTGGATCAGATGTTACTTTTCAACCCATCGCTATAACTTCCCCTTTTCTGAAGACAATGGAGAAATTACTCCTCCTTGTGATTGAGCCTTCACAGATCCAAAACAGTTTGCTTACAAACACTGGAGGAGTACTTTAGATGCAGCTACTGCTTTGCATCATAATATTGTTTCTAGTCTCGACAAAGGTGTTGAGTATGTTTGTTGTGCCTTTTTGGATTACTCATCAGTCTTTGATTCTGTTCTCAGACCACTTTTGTTAAATAAGCTTGCCATAGCTCATACTGAGTCATGGGTTACAAAGTGGCTGTATTCTTATTTTCTGAAAGGAAACAGTACACTATCCGTAAAGGGAAGCGTTGGACTTCATTGCTTACTGAAGTTGGTGTGCCTCAAGGTGCTGTAATCTCTCTTTTCTGTTTTCGTTCTTTTTACATGATTTATCTTATTCTATTGAAACTAATTTTATCAAGTATGCTGATGACCTAATGGTTTCTATTCCAGTCAAACCTTCCTTGGATTGCTCTAAATTTAATGAATTCTTGTCTGAAGTTGGCAAATGGTCTCAAACTAAACCCTTCTAAATGTCAGACTGTTAATTTTAGTCTCAGGCGTAAACAAGACTTATGTGAGCTGCTTAAATCTCATGACGCCTGCTGCATCAATGGTATTTCTTAAGAAAGTAAATCGAGTGTGAACTATCTTGGGTTGGGTTTTACTTCTGATCTTTTTTAGCCGTCCCATATTTTATTGACTTGTAAAAAAATCTTTCGTTTAACTTATTACGTAAAGAAATTGAGGCTTTCTGGTATAACTCAACTGCTTCTTTTACAATTTATTAATTCCTGCATTTTACCTATTCCTCCTCTCTGTTGTTCCTCATTAATCTTTCCTGGTCTTCTTAAAAAGGACTATATTATGTTGCGTAGGGCTTTGGAGGCCGTCAGCAGGGCGAATGGTGTGTCTCTTGCTCAACTGATTAACATTGTAGTTGATTGACATATAAATTCCTGCAAGCCACTAGCTACAGAAATTTTAACTGACAGTGAGCATCCACTTCATTTACAGCTCTCTCCATGTATCTCCTTCAGGGAGGACAAGAAGAAACTACATAAGACTGTATGCTCGTACAGCTAAATATAAAAATTCGACTGTACCTTACCTTGCACGTATATTTTGTGAGGAAAAAAGTATTAGAACAGAAATCACACATCAACTTTGTGACAGTTAAAAATCTCATTTCAATAATCTAACTCACAATGCAAAATTTTCTCGTTTTTAATATTCTTCACATAACTTAAATTTTTATAATAAAACAATTTGAAAGGCTGCAAAGTAGTATGTATATACAGATATATTTTGTTGTTATTACAATATATATTACGCTGAGAATTCCAAATTGTACCACAAATTGTTTGGAATAAAGTGAATTATTATTATTATGTGCGTTATTCAGTTCTGCAGTAGGCAGATTGATAACATTTAATGCTGATACAAAGTACTTAGTGGGATTATGGTACACATTCGTGTAAGCGCAAGGCTTTTCAGTGAAGTAAGAGGTTCTGTGATGTTTACTTCCATAAATTTTGTATTAGCTCGTAAACTGAGGTGTTACACAGCTTTCTACTTCTTCACGGATAGGATTTCGTGTGTTTGAGTTTTTAGCGTCTTGTCCCAATGTGAATTGTTGTGGTATGAAGGGATTGAGGAACTAATCATGGTTAGGTGTTTTAAATATCTTCCATCAGGGGTCAGTCAACTAGTCATGTAATACTTCAAAATTGTCGTATTTGGTCCAGTGGACCCATGAAATAGCACCAGCTCTAGCATTTGGAATATTAAAGTGGTTGTTTGGACGTTGAGACGTGGTTTTAAGATTACCATAACTCCCTCAGTTTGCAAGCTTTATTTGACAACTGTTCATCACTAAGAATAGCTGAATGGCAGTTATATTCAGGAGGGATATTGCGCAAATAAAAAGATGGAATACAAGCAATGGATAGTATCTTTATTATGAAGACTAGTAACTGCACTTGGCTATCAACACTCCAATTAACGGAGCAGGCTTTAAAGCCCTGATCCACTGGTTAAAAGTTGAATGCTACACACTGACGAGTTGTAGTATCTGGCTATAGTAATTACTGCATGGTTCTAGTGTTCTTGTTGAGTTCTTCGACAATTTTCGAAATACTGGTTTTGTTTGGGGGGGGGAGGTCATTTTCTATTGTTACTAATGATAACTTTGATTGCTATTAACCTAAAGAACAACCTATTCCTCACTGTTTACTTAATCGTGAATGCTGTAGATCGGAGTATTCTTACCTAAGGATTTTCATTGGTTCTAGTCACTGACATTCATCACTTCCTATTGGTTATTTCGAAAACATATAAAAATAACCTCAATATGAAGAGTCAGTTCGGTTATTAGTTACACTAAAATCTTGATTGACGGGATTCTGTCACCATTGAATACCAACTTCAAGTATTGTGCAGTATTCCATTCTAGTCTGTTTATTCTATGGGTCACAAAGTGGAACAGTATTCTTTACGGGATAATTTATCTAAGTCAAGATCAGTAAAAGGTAATAAGATTGCAAATCTAGAGAAAAGCATGGATATAGCAGTCCATATGATTGGATACATTAGGGTAGGACATAGCAATAGTATTAAGAACTAATTTGGTTGGGTGGTAGGACAGGTTAAAGATGGAATTACAATCTATACCATTGTCTATGTTTTACTCTTATACTATCACGCAGCATATTAGTAAAGAGTGACTGAAGCTTATGAAAACTTTGTTACACTTCATAAGTACACTGGTAAATAAATTATATCTTGAATGGAGCTGTGAATCACTTGCTTATATATATAAGTGACTCCTTAAGTTCAAACCCCACTTCACCGATCATTGGTTTTCAGCAGTCAGGCGGTATCACTGTCTTTAAGACAATGCTTTTGGTGACCAATGTCTAGTGAATTACCTGCACACTTCGTTTATATTCATTGATAACTGAACGGTCAGTCAATTGACAAGAAAATCAAAGATACATTCAAACATGAGTTAGTTGGCCGATCGAT